GCAAACCCGCTCTAAGGCCGGTGTTTTCTGCCCAAAACAAATCCTAGACCTCCATGCCACCACCTCCATCTCCCCTTTACCCCCAACTTACCGTAGTGCTATGAAAGATCCAAACTGGCATGCTGCTATGTGTGATGAATAATGCTTTGTTAAAGAATGAGACATGGGAACTAGTACCCCCCTCCCCCAACCAAAACATAATCACCGGTAAATGGCTCTTCCGACACAAATTTGGCCCATCCGGTGAGTTATCCAGGTATAAGGCCTGATGGGTGGTCTGCGGATTCAATCAGCGTTTTGGCGTTGACTACAGCGAAACTTTCAGCCCCGTCATCAAGCCTACCACGGTCCGAATCGTCCTTAGCCTCGCGTTGTCTCGTGGGTGGCCCATCCATCAGCTCGATGTCAAAAATGCCTTCCTCCATGAACAGCTTCAGGAAACCGTGTATGCTAGCCAGCCCTCAGGATTTCAGGATGCAAATCGCCCTCATCATGTCTGCCGGCTCAAGAAAGCTCTTTATGGTCTAAAACAGGCACCCCGGTCATGGTATCACAGATTTGCAGGTTTCATTCAGACTATTGGATTTCGCAGCTGCAAATCTGACACCTCTCTCTTCGTCTTCACGCATGCCTCGGGGACCGCCTACCTCCTATTATATGTTGATGATATCGTCCTCATTGCCTCCTCGCCAGGGCTTCTTCAGAGTCTCATTCAGAAACTCAAGGCTGAGTTTGCCATGACAGATATGGGTGATCTGCACTTTTTCCTCGGCATTAATGTTCATCGCACTGCTCAGGGCCTTTTCCTCCATCAGACACAGTTCACTCACGACATCCTTGAGAGGGCAGGGATGGTCTCCTGCCGCCCCATATCCACTCCAGTCGACACAAAGGCTAAGCTTTCTTCCTCCTCCGGTACGACACTTCCAGATCCTTCTCTTTACAGGTCCATCGTAGGTGCTCTAAAGTATCTCACATTCACCAGACCTGATATCACTTATGCCGTTCAGCAGCTCTGCCTCCACCTTCATGCGCCCCGCGACTCTCACCTCACGGCCATGAAGAGAGTTCTCCGTTATCTTAGCGGCACCGCCACTCACGGTATCTACCTGACTTGCTCCTCGACAGACTATCTCCAGGCTTATTCTGATGCTGATTGGGCTGGCTGTCCCGACACCAGACGTTCCACTTCCGGGTACTGTATTTTTCTAGGTGACAACCTAATTTCCTGGTCTTCAAAACGCCAGGCCACCACTTCCCGCTCCAGTGCAGAGGCAGAATATCGGGCTGTGGCAAATGCAGTTGCTGAGACTTCTTGGGTCCGAAATCTTCTTCTTGAGCTCCAGCAACCACTACGACGCGCCACCCTCGTCTTCTGCGACAACGTCAGCGCCGTCTATCTCTCATCAAACCCAGTTCAGCACCAGTGCACCAAGCACGTTGAAGTCGACATACACTTTGTGCGAGACAAAGTCGCACTCGGCCATATCCGAGTCCTTCACGTGCCCTCTTCTTCACAGTATGCTGACATCTTCACCAAAGGACTACCTTCTCTACTCTTCCTCGAGTTTAAGTCCAGTCTGGGTATCAGACCCCCTCCTCATCCGACGTAGCCGGGAGCATGTTAAATATATTCTATATTTAATGTAAATATATTGTTTCCTATTATTGTCTCCTACCTTGTATAGGATTAGGAATATATTGTTTCCTATTATTGTCTCCTACCTTGTATAGGATTAGGAAT